TTTTATTCTTCTGCTTTTAGAATGCACATATACCATATTCTCCGTGAGCCCATTGGTGCCAAGTATCCTGATGATGTTGTCGGGAAATTTTGTCGACCCTTTCGCTGTTACCATGAGCGTCAAATGGGTTTCGCACAAAATTCTAGCTGATCCATTTCTCGCTCACTAAAATACCCTGTTCTCCAAAACGTTCAGTTCTCCTGTAGCTTTATATTCGGCACGCATCAAGTCGTTCCATGCAATAATTTACCATCTCTCACCGATTCCGGTCACCCGATCCTCCCCAAGTTAAGCCACTACCGGAAACACAGTCTTGAAATAACCTTTTTCCGAACGGTCATGCTCTCATCACCTCATCCATCCAGCACCCATCATGAATTCCTTAATCCATACATGCTTAACCCTCCCCGCGGACTGTACTGTTGCTCCAACTGTTCTTCTTTACGGAAGATCCAAGGATTTCGCCCTAATTCCTACATATTCCAAAATCTCAACCCAGAACTGCCAATTTGCCATCGGTTTCCTTTGTGTTCTTTATCCCGCGCAAACACTGCTGTGCAGGTAATTGATTTTTAAAAATGATTACTTTATCTAGGGCTCACTATTGTGTACGAAATACGTTTCGTTATAGCATCAAATCTGTAGCGAACTGCATTCTCCTCGAAAGGATACGTACAGGATAAGGAGTATTGATCAAGTTATACGTTCGTTCATTATCCGTAGGCTAAGAGAACGCCTACAACAATCATCTAGGATGTCCGGGATCTACTTAGCTGTTATCACTTACTAATCCACTCTTATACCCGCATTCTTCCTGTACTAAATTCTGTGAGTCAAACTGGAAACTGCACCAAACCGGGTTTGGTGCACCAACGGGATATTGGTACTAATTTCGACTTGTGGAATGAAGTCTAGGTAGTCTCGATGAGCAGACAAGATCGAATGTGGCTGCTTGACCTGTTCAAACTCCAGACTTCTCCAACCATACATGTTTCGAGCACCTGAAAACCTCACTGAGCACACGTGGATAATAAATAACAATAAATAAAGTTTGTGTGCGAACGAATTTCATTAGTACGCGAGTAACAGTAGCACGATTTGCCATACACTTCTCATACATGACTCACAAAATGCTTTGAAATCAGGCAAGACTTTACAAGTAATTTTTATCTCGGAATCTAACACAGTAGACCTTATCGGCGCAGTCCTAAGCACGAACAAAGATCGTCAGGTTCAACAAATGACTTTACCTATTCGAAATTGAAGGATTGTGAGATACTGGTCACTTGTGAGTGGTAGGTTACATAGTTAGTGATTACTTTCAACGACCAAAAAATAAACACCATCACTGATAGTAATTTGCTGGTTCTCAAAGAAGAACTTTGATTTCCTCATTCATTATCCGTCGCGTGGCAAGGAACTGCGATTAGAGTTTCGTGTTATGTATGCCAAATTGGTGATGTTCTATCTGCAATCCTCAATAGACGATTATCATTGACCGGCTACGTCTTCTGGAATTATAGCAGTAGTAGAAAATTGACACACTGCAGCTACCATATGCTTATTACGGTGTACGAATAACTGTGGTCCGGTATGACTGACAGTTAACATAGTTATTGCTTTGAAATTTGGAATATAACGTCTCAAGGGTAAGCGCCGTAACCTATCAATACAAACATGGTTGATTTGTTCCAACGAGAACACTTTTCCAGTGCTCTGTGTCCGTCATTCGAGAAATCATAGGGACTATCTATTCCTGGACTAGATGAATGACGATCTACTGCGGTTTTCACAACAAAGCTGCAACGATGATTTTCGTGCTTCGTTTATACTCAGCAGATGAATCGTTTCAGAATGTAGTGGATACTGCCATTGCGTCAGTAGTAGTTGACTTAAACCATGATGAGTTCAGAGCTAACTGAAGAGATCAAAACAATTTCTATTTACAACAAAATAACATTGATCAAATTTAATATATCCAGTTTGTGTACACCAACAGTCTACCTTTGTTCTTCAGGGAAGTTTTCGAGTATCTTCGGAATCGAATCCACCAACATTGTTATGAAGTCATTTTCTATTTTGTGCTCCAATGCGTGTCGCACTTTGCTTCCAATATCCAATTAGCAGCCAGCAGATTGACCTCTTCCTTCAAAACATAAAATAGCATTTCTGGAATGCAGTGAGTTAGCTATCAAACACAGATTATTATTATGAAAACGTATTTAATGCAATTTCTTCGAGTAGTGAATTTCATTTGGTTATTTCTAATACGTACTATATATTGGATAAAATAATGCCTCATAACAAATAACTGAGATGGCACAAGGTTTATAGAGATAATTTGGGATAATTCTTGAGTCACTCCTATTACAATATATTGCATTTTCATACTTGATAAAGTTGGCGATTTGCAAGTTGAAATTCTTTTATCTTGGTAACTAAGGTCAGTCACGTTTAATTGACAATCATGCAGCCTCGATAATACGTGGATCGAAGTAAACAAGAGATAAATAATTGCCCATACCTATGGTATTATTATAGGTGATGAATATAGTGAAACTCAGTTTGATCAGAAAGAAAACACTTTAGTGCATCACAATCGGCCAGAACTGTAAATTGTATGATTGAATTCAAGAACTTCATTCAGGTTTTTACCGGAAACCCGTTCACTACCGTTCATTCATGTTCTAACAGTGAAACAGTTTAAACTACGAGCTGGGGTTTGCCCTCATAAATCGGAAAGCAAACGAAATCATCTACCACCAGGAATTTGTTATATACCTAACTTGGAACAATTTGCACTGCCTTGGATTGAATTGGTTTCATAAACAAGGCTCAGTGTTAAAGAAAATGTTTTTTTTGTGGCAACCAGCAACGACTAATCCACCTTTTGTTGGGGTTCCGATCAAATGTTAAATGATCCCAAGTTGCCCCCAAAGTTCAGCTTCCATGGCGTGTGATTTCTGATTTCATGAGATCTCCTCAGCCAAGATTTGTGGTGAGGGACACAATGAAAAATATCACAATGCAGCCACAGAAGAAACCAATCAGGGAATTGCACTACTCACTTTGCCTAAACCATAAAATAGAAATGAATGAGCGTTGCCACGGAAGGTCATAAACGCGTCTTTGGTTTTACAATATATCGTCCAGAATGTCCAACAAATCACTGCCTGTAGTTTTCAAAACTCATCCGGTAAACATCGAAGACCATCAGTTTCGTCACTTGATCCGTAAATGTCTTTAAACTCTGCGTGTGAGCTAGCTGTTTACCCAATCACACTGGTTAACTATATTGATAAGTAAATGGCAATTGAAACCATATTGACTTTTGTTATTACGGTTACTCAATTGATCTCAATTAATCTGTTTTTTTATATTTGAACGTTTACTGCAGTAAAGGGAATAAAATTGTAGGAAGGTGAAAACCAGTGACAAAGTTTTGTCTGTAATTCGAACGTATTGAGAGTGGTGAACAAGCTCGTCTGCGGTGTTTCTTCTACAGGCTAATACATCNNNCACAATTTATAACAAACCGTATAGTAGGGTGCGGGGAGAAATCATAAAAAGTTGGAAAAGAGATAGTAAACATTCCAGTTCCATGACCGCATGTTGCTCACACATTGGTCCTCACCTATTCGCACTGGTTCGGGTCATTAGGGGCGTGTGGGATGGCTGTGTCGTGTGTGGTGTTGGCTATGGAATATCGGATAACCTTAGGGATTGTTTTTTCGAGCACAGGGGGGATTATGAAGGCAGATTCCGATCGGTTCCGCTGTGGCTAAAGTGCAACTCCCAATCCTTTTAGATCGACGGCTGTGAACTAAATAGAGGGGTTGAAAAGCCTCGGTCACATTAATTCCCTGAGTTAACTCCACTAGATGTGAAACGATCGAGCTGTTGATAGGCATAATTACTCAACTATTTAACTAGGTCGGATGTTGCTCACGGACTCGTTTAGATAAACGTCTGCTTGCGCCGCCAATATACTTTGTCCTACAGGAATAGGTAAGTAAGTACACACAAACAGAGATGGCAGAAACAGGCAATTATCATGGAGTTGAAGGCACAAAAGTGGCTTGGAGATGAACACAATGTGCAGTTCCGCTTCGGGGAACGATTTTTCTACAGCTGTACTCAGTTCACGATCTCTGCAGATGTATCAGCTTTGACAGATAGTGATAAGTGAATCGGTTTCTTCTCAACGGTAGTGATCTCGTTTAACAACCGGTGACGCCTCGCAATGTTGTCCACGAATCGTCCTGGGCATCCATTATGAAAGAAAACCTCTTGGATAAACCTCATTTCTATATCAATGATATCGTCTGTATTGAGAAAAACAAAATTTAATGTTCAAAGATCCTTCAATCTTGACAGCAGTTCCGCTCACAAGCTATTTTTCCCCAGTTGTGAACTGTGACTTGGGTTTCTATCTCGCTGCCTGAATAACCGGTCCCTGCAGCCCAGTCACACCACAATTATGGTAATCACCTCTGTTCTGAAGTTTCCCCTGTCTTGAAGTCACCAATGAAAGGCTTTAGCGGTAAACGCTGCGTGAAAAGACAATGAGGAGAACATTCAAGTGTCATTGGTCAAGATTTTGATTTCGGTTTCATCATAGACTTGTTTGTATGCTTCCGCTGGATAGGAAAGCTTATTCCTGTCATAAATCTGTTTTCATCGTCCAAAAGTTCCATCTTTTGAGCTATTTATTTATCTGAAGACTTTTCTTGAAGGTGTCACGTGATTGTCACTGCAATTTATTCATATCCTTTTATGAGCAGTGCTTAATATCATTCGGCAGTTTGTTGTCTACGTATGCATTTCCGTCAGCCAATCAGAACCGACATCAGTCCAGCCAATCATGTCTAGATCGGGTGACATGCGTAATAAAACCCGGTATAACTGATCCAATTGTCAATATAGCACTACGATCTGACTATGGAAGCATCAACACAACACCCCGCAATTCTAGTCTCTGCACCTCTGGTTTAATAAGCATGGAGCGGCAAGAAACAGCCGAGCACCAAGCAGATGATCGAATAAACGAAGCTACACTTGCAGACAAAGCACTAATATCCAGTGATAATATATCCTGCATCCAAGTGCCTCCCAACACCGTAGTCAGCGGTGACCAATCACGAATCAAAGATGCTGCGGATAATCAGGGATATAAGAACCGCTGGAAGAAGGTGCCGACCGTCGTACGATTCGTATCGCTGCTCAGTCGTGAGCCAATGGGCAATCAGGCGTTACGAAGGGATTCGTTCATAGATCGATTCACTAATCGCCGACCGGTTGACGATACAAACTACACTGTTCGAACATGTATGACCGAGGATTCGTATAGCCCCTGGTCGGTAGGATCATCCGGTCAGCACGCATCAATCAGCAAGGATGACAAGCCAAACAAATCAAATCAATCCAGTCCAGCCACGTTCGTGGAGAAAATGCTTTACGGTGTGGGGACCGGTATTGGAATCGATCGTCGCAGTGTGGACGAAGATTGTGTCTTCCCATTCGATCTGATCCCGGATCAAGAAAAGATGAGGGTGTTGGGAAAAAAGCCATGCGGGTTGCCATGCATCTTCCAACCGTACAGTCTGGCTTTACTGGTGTGGCTAACCGCAGTCTCACTGGCTGTATTGTACAATTTGTGGTTACCGATAGCTCGTCAAGCATTCTACGAACTACAAGCGCAAAATACTCTGGTATTTCTTATTCTTGATCTTTGTGCTGATTTGATATATTTGCTGGATTTTGTTGTTCAACTGGGAACTACATACCTGGAGTGTGGTCTGGTGGTTATCAATCGAAGGAAACTGGCTCTACGATACGTGAAATCTTGCAACTTTCGCATGGACGTGATTTCCATTATCCCACTGGATTTGTTACAATTGAAATTGGGCTCCCAACCAATGCTTCGGTTTCCACGATTTGTTAAAATCTATCGGGCACGGCTGTGGAAAATTAAAATAGAGAACCGATCATTGTTCCCCAATGTTTGGCGTGTATTGAACTCGATCCATGTCCTATTCCTCGGCTGTCACTGGTTCGCATGCATCTATTATATGATTTCAAAATACGAGAAATTTGACAGTCCTTGGGCGTACAAACCGGAAAATATAACAGCTGGTGTCAATTTGGGGAGGAGATATTTGAAATGTTACTACTGGGCAACCTTGGCGTTGACCACCATCGGAATTGAGGAAGGACCGGTTACTAATGTGGAGTAAGTCGCGTTCAGTCAATGCTACTGTTGCCGAGGATTATTTCTGTTAGTTCACACGGTTCATGAGGATCAGTGGGCGCTTTTCGTTTTTAGCTAGTCTTTCTCATTATACTAACAGTTTTTGACGACCAGAGTTGAGTGTAACAGCAAACAAAAGGCCTTTGATCTAATGTGATTCCAATGGAACACAATACAAATTTATCAATTTAACTTGTCAGTTGTATTTGCTCGCGTGCACACGGTTTACATTCCATATGGTCGTATTGTACACGACCCTGGAAACATTCAAATGTCATTTTGATCTTGTCAATGGAGCAAAAAATCGAAACTTTTATCCACTGCTCTAAGTATTTTTATTTATAAAATGGCGTGCAAAACTTATTCGTGCGATGACTTACCTCCAGATAAATCAAATTACTGGTCTCTCAGTTTTCCCCTATTGAAATCAATGAGTCAAATTAAACCTTTTTTGATGACGAATGAAAGGGAGAAGGATCAATTACTTGGGAACAAACCAAAATGAAACCAGGAAAATCCTAGATAAATAGTTCCAAAATATCATCAACTGATCAACAAACGTACCGATTGGATAATTTTCAGATAAAAACAATAACAAAATTAGCTTCATGAGGAGAACGGAACATTGTTCCAGTCATCGCTAATCACGAAATCGTTCATTCACATTATTGAGTGTATATTTAGCTGCCAAAGACAACACAAATGCAAACTCAAAAGGCACTGAATGAGGTTACTGTTAAGGAGTTAACTAAAAGCTGTCAATTGATCATGAACTCTCAGGTCGCGTGACATGAAAGATGAAAACGATACAAGAAACTAAGAAAACGTTATTTTCTTGGACAAGTGTTTTAAATTTGTAGTAATTCAAACAAAGTAAAGAGATAGAAATACATCATGATTAGGTGGCATGAATTGACTGGAGGGAGACAAGCAATGTTTAATGAACAATCTTGTCCCAAGCCTTCATTATTTCACCGATAAAATGCATGTAAGAAGAAGCTGCTTTACTGGGTTTGCGTTAATGAACTGGAGTTTAAGGTGCAAGGCATGAAAAGCCTTCCCACTTTCGCCAAAAACGACATTCCCCAAGCGTGGTGGTGGAACGATGACCTCCGTCACCACTACCAACAACAACGACCGAGAAATGTTTTGCGAATGACGGGTCGTGCCTGGCATATCTCAGTTAAATTCAGTTTGGGTTTACCGATATTGAACAGGTCTAACTAAGTAATGTATATGGAATGGGTTCATAGAGCCATAATTTTAATAAAACTTTGCTATTAGCTATGATTTTCCGCATGGAAAAGCATGTCGAGCTGAATTATCGGGATACAGTGAGTCAAGTAAAGATTTTCTATCGACAGGTCGTCGAAATTGAAGAACTTGGCTTTACCGCTTTGCATCGAAACGCTTTTCCAAAAGAGGCAGTGTTCGGCAGTTATAGCATATTCGTTACCTAAAACTGGTGCACTTGATCGGCTGAAATTACTCAAAACTTCACTTCGATCTATGAGACAGAAAGTCTCATTTAACTCGGGCATACTCTGTGATTTTAGTGAGTTTGCAGGTGAAACAAGACAACAACACGCAGGAGAACATGCGGAAAGGTACCCGTATTCTTTTCAAGGGCGCGAGAAAATATTTTGAATCTGAACAGTCACATGTCTGGTTAAATAAAAATTTCCAGTCTTCAAATTATTTGACCGAATCCATCGTGCTGATATTCTGTCTGATGTTTTCGCAAATAACTTTTAATGTTTCGGTTCATCACTTCATCAGCAGGTTGAGAGATGTTAATCAAACTAACTTGTGAGAAGATCTAATGGGAACTCTGAACCACGCATGATTGTCACTCACACCTCTGTCCACAGTGCATGATCTATGATCATTCTCTGTGTGACCAGCAAGAGAAAATTGCTTAAAACGCGGCGTACAGAGGCGATTACGGCAGGAATTACAACTAGTTTACTTGGAAAGACCTCCAAAGCTTTAAGGCCACTAAAATTCTGTTAAGGATATACATATCAAAGAAGTATAGTTGTTGGTTTGTGGATTTGCGGTTACAGAAAGCCGTCCGTTTCCCACCCATTCGGATTGTATGGGTTCAGCCTTCTACCTTACAGAAGTGATAATCTTTCTTCGATAGTAAAATACTGTTGAGACGCAACAAATAATCCATCGATACATAAATTTCAACCAATTCATCATGTTTCTCCACCCAACCATGAATGTTTGTCAGTAGCGAGAGCATCATAAATCCTAAGTGTTCCTGGAACGGTGCTGAGTGATCGGAAAGATGAAGCTTTCAGTTTGGAGGTGTGACTTGGGGTTTCAGTGACAAACACATGATCCAAAATGAATAGAACCGAGTTCGTTTTATCAAGAAACAGCAAACTGTGAAGTTTCATCGCAGTGCACTGTTTTACTCCTGTATTACCAACGAGTGATGTTAGTGCCGCTGCAAAAATCACATGTAGGGATTGGCCCGTGAAATTTCTACCTGGTGATTTTCCGATCAAAGATGAACAACGTTCACGTCAAACAACTAATCAAGAATATAGCTGCTTAAGTAAATTGCTTGGCACAGAATCATGTCACAAAGGATGCTGACCAAGTTTGTGTATTATCTGAAACAGTTCGTTAAACTATTACAAAAAACGAAGTTTTTAAGCAACTTAGAGAAGAATCAGATTTGACTCGCAGTTACTAGTGAATAGTGGTATGGGATAACTTATACTGATTTGAACCAACCATTCTTCAGACATCACCTTCACCCACAATGATGAGTTCTTTTTGCTCAACCATACATTCAGAAGCATTATAATATACTCTTATTCGTACTTGTCAGTGGTATATATCAATCGTCCCATTCGAGTTCTGAGCTCCGGACCCACCGCATGAAAGGCGTTTGTGTTAGCACTGTGCTAACCAGCTCATACTAGCACTGACTGCCTGATTGCTCATTCATCCTTGTTCAGGTGTCATTTTTGGTGATAGCTAGTCAGTTCATAGATGACACGACAACCACGGAGACAGTTGACTATCTGTTCAATCTAATCGATAGGCTCTCACCAAATCAGGTCTTCCATGTAGGTTACGCGCTAACTTGCAGCATCAGTCACCGGTAAAGTTTTCGTTTGTACGAACAGTTTATCAACGATCCAAATAAACGATGAACCGAGGGTCCAGGTCAGGGCCAGATGATACAGTGTATATCACTTTCGCCACAAGCTTGAATAGTTTGTACCTTGTGCCAACATAGAAAAACAGCTATATTTTTGCAAATTTTCATTTTGGCCGTGTTTTTCCGCTTGTGGAAAACAAGTATGACAAATGACTTATATCTTGGTGGTATAATAGACCAAAACATGTATGCTATACATGTAAGTGAACACCGCACATTTCAGTTTTCTCAGCTGCGGCTTGACTGGGCCCCGTTTGATGTGAACTGGAAGCGCATATGATCAACGTATTTCTTGGAAAAGATGTTTGCATATCCACGCAACCGGCGTGTGAATACAAAACGTAACAAGTGTTTCAAAATACCTCCCCGGAATTCAACGGTATTTCAGTTAATCCATTTTATACTTTCTCCAATGAGAGCACGGAGCTTAATACGTTTGTACACGCTCAGTTAGACTCTAGGCGATACGGTTATTACCTTTCAACCACAATCAAGCAAAAAAGGGTAACATGTATTATTGATATGAATGCTAGAGCAAACTGACTGCCATAGGTTGTATCCCTGGAAGAAATTCACACTATGCACGGTTAATAAACAATCTCTCAACTTTCGTGCTGTTTATACTTGACAGGATGATTTGTGTTCTTTGGAAAACATATTAGAACTCATGTTCTACTTCATCCAAGTTTGAGCAACTTTATCTGCGTTTAATTTGTCAAGAGGCAAGTTTTTCCAGATTCTGAATCCACGTATGCATCTAGGTTATTCGGAATGTAATCGACAAATGTATGGCGTTCTATCAGTCGAGATAAAAATCGATTGCTTAGAAATTTTCAGTCGTATGCTGTGTGGAACAGAACAAGAATAGCAAACTTTATTGAAGCTAGTCTGCTTTCATTCAGACCACAGAAATATTATTGTTGAAGCTTCTTCAGAAATTGCAGTCTTAAGGTTGCCAATAGCATTCAGATTTTCGTTCAAATGATCACCACTCCCTAATGTGGGAGGAGAATATAAAACTGGTAAATGGTTATTAAGACTGTCAATATAACACCACCATTCGTCTGTTATACTATCTCCCTATTAAGGTGTTCCATGATTTGACCGAAGATTTTTTTTACCTGAAATGCAGACGAACGTTATCCCAAACTTGGGTTATTCTGCTCACTTGTACATGGCATCCGAGCTTTTCAGTTCATTCTTCATTTGCTCAAACATATTTGTCAAATTTTTCTTAAAGTCAAACAACTATAGGCTTTACATCACTTCCCAAAGTGCCTTCAATACCAATTTGCCTCGTTGAACGTTCTCCTGTAGTCACGGGAATTTGGCCTTGCTGACTACTGGCTTAACGATAAATGTTTCCGCGTCTTCTTCTAATTACTTTCCGGGTCTCGTAACCACTTTTCCTTTTGATGCATAGGAGCAAAGTGGAAACGTGAAAACAATTTCTTCAGAATTATCGCTTCAGACATTTACATACATAGTTTGATTGGTCAATAGATTAATACAAGGCATAAGCTGATTTTGAATGAATGAACGTGTGTGCGTGTGTGTGGAAAATGTTCGGTTGACAACAAGCCATGTGGTCACGTTAAACGGATAGGGAAAAACCGGATACAAATTTGTAAATGGTATTAGTAAAGAATGAATAAAACATTCGTAAAAATATGACAAGGATGAGAGACAGAATAGAATAGAAGGTGCCACATGGAAATATGACCAATCATTCTTATGGCCATGGTAAGAGCAGCACTTGAATCAAATTATGTTGCTTGCACAACTCCAGCATCATGATTCAA